TTGGATCTAGATCAGAGGAGACCATTTGGCTTAGAATGGGAAAGAAGGTTCAAAATTATTGTTGGAATTGCTAGAGGGCTACTTTATCTGCATGAAGATTCTCAGCTTAGGATTGTTCATCGAGATTTGAAAGCCAGCAACATCCCGCTAGACGAAGAGATGAATCCCAAAATATCTGATTTTGGTTTAGCCAAACTGTTTTGTGGTAGCCAAACTCATGGCAATACAAATCGGATTTCTGGTACTTTGTATGTCACAAACTTCATTCCTAGTTCGAAATACAATGTTTATTGCTTGACATACACTTCTCTAACTCATTTATTCATGACTTGCAGTGGATACATGGCACCGGAATATGCTAGAAATGGGAAATTTTCAACTAAATCTGATGCCTATAGTTTTGGGGTTTTAGTTATGGAAATTATTACAGGTCGAAAGAATTCCAGCTTCCGCAAATTCTCAAATCTTCAAAGTTATGTAAGTACGCAAAATAATAAATGCGAGCAATGTAAAATATGACAACATAACATGTTAAATTGACGGAGCATATGTTTTTAAAGTAAGATTGACTTGAATTGAACACGTGAAATTGTCATATAGGCGTGGCAGCATTGGGCCAATGGAACAGCTTTGGAGTTATTGGATCCAAGATTGGGTGACCAGTGGCCTAGATATGAAGTTCTGAAGTGCGTCCACATTGGGTTATTATGCGTGCAAGAAGCTCCTGCTGAAAGACCTACCATGTCTGAGGTTGTTATGATGCTCAATAGTTACACCATAAACTCCGCCATCCCGTCACAGCCAGCGTTTTATGTCCGGCAAGAGAGCTCTGCAGACTCACAGCAATCGGTGGCTCGCCTCGAAAGTTATGGTGCATTTTTTGAACTTGATCAGTTAGCGGAAGCAACTCAATCAGTAAATGACCTAACAGTAACTGAACTCTGTCCACGCTAGCTAGCAATTGCAAATTGCAATGTCATAATAATTAAAAATGTATCTCTCTCAGCCAGAAAATAGATTCTGCTACTGTTTCTTATTTTGGTTGTACAAATTTTTTTGTTCAAACTGTGCACATATCGTCAATTAAAGAAGGACAACTAAAACCCGTTAAGTTTGGACAAAATTTTTGTCTTTTCTTGTAGCCTAATAAAAATCCTCCCGATAATGTTTAAATTTAACTCAAGTCTTGGCTGTGAACTCGCTCAATCAAACTGTCAAAACAGTAATCTAAAAATATTTTTGAACGACAAAACGAACAACTAATTATTGGGGATGGTTTGTTTGTTTTTTTTTTGTGTGTGTGTGTGATCATTTTGAAAGAATAACTTCTATCAAGCAAAACTCTTTTTGTTTTAGTGTAATTTTCACTTCACGTGCTTTTATCAAAACTATTTATTAAAACTTCTATGAGTCGAATATTGTATGCGCATGCGAATATTGTACCGGGTACTTACAAAAATTTCTCCATGTGAAGATATCGCTTGGAAAATCAAACTGGCTTTATGGTGAGACTCAATGTACTAGGGACCTTGTCGAGATTTCTTGTAAGAAATGTCTTGATATAGCGACACGTGATCTTCGGAAATTTGGTTATCGAAAGAGTGGTGGACGTGTTTATTACGAGTAATCAAACTGGCTTTTGTTTGCTTTTAATCTTTGTATTTTTGGAGAGCTAGGTTGTCTTGTGTCCCAAAATGTATATATACGAGTTGGGGTGTGTGCGGAAGAGTTCGTGACAAAGGCAAATCAATTGCACCGATTTAATTGCGCAGTCTAGAAGTTGTAGGGTATTGTGGCTTATCAAATACATAACAAATGAATCATAATCTTTTATATGTATAACCTCAGAAATAGTACTTGGATCCTGATCAGTTGGGACTCTCTTCTTCTTACTCCTTTGCCTATTCCCTTTGGAGGTGGAAAAGGTTTATGTGGTAGTGGCACATCAAACATGATTTGCCTATTCATCATCATTTGCCCACCCGAATTCTTTTTCGTTCCAAAAGCACCCAACTTCTCCTTTTCAACCAAACCTCACTGCCTTAATCATATTCTTATGAAGCAATGCGTCTTTCTTGTGAAAGAGAAGATGGGGTCTTTGGTTTGGTTAATTGTTCAAAGATTTGAGAACGACATGTGTCTATATTTTTCTAAGTTCTTAAAGAAAAACAGAAAAGGTAAAAAAAAACCTGCTGTATATATGTACAAATTCCTTGAGATTCTGGGTTGGGTTATTAGATTAGGTGTATCGATATATACCTACTAAACGTTGGCCAAAAAGGATACACCTACTAAACGTTGGCCAAAAAGGATACACCTACTAAACATTAAGATGAAGTCACCCACCATGTCCTTTAATGTGGATGCCATAAACCACTCCATATTGTGTACTTTTGGTCCTTTTTTTTTCTTTGAATTCTCAGAATTTAATTACAAAGATTTATTTCAATCATGTCAAGAACCTGAATATATGAACCCACATTCATTGCTCGGATAGTTCACATCAAACTATGTCACGATTAAAATGCCTCCAAAAGTTTATCTGTTACTTCAATTTCAATATGTAGGTCTTTTCTTACTGAAGATTTACTTGGAGTCTGTAGGGCTCGAGTCATTGTTTAGTTTCTCTGTTAGGCGTTAGTCTAGTTTCTTCACACAAAAATATATATATGTAGTCTACAACAAGAAAAAAAATATGATAGTTGTAGCAGAAAAAAAGAAAAAATGAAGAAGAATAATATTGGTATCCAAGAGCGAACAACCTGTCGGTGCCTTATATCATGATACTTGACCAACTAAAACAACTAAACCACAAACTAATATTATCTTCGCTCTTACGTGTCTTCTCCCTTCTCCTTCAATGTCTATAAAAATGAAGTTCCTAAGTGGAGATCTATGCGGTTGACTCTCTGCCTCTCATTCTACCCTTCAACTTCTTTTCCCTTTCTACCACTAAGCGAAAATATGGCAGCTTCAAGAACAACATTAGTGAGCTTGGTTGTTGCGACCATGCTCATAGAATTGGCAATGGCAGCCAGTTACAATGTAGGAGGTCCGAATGGCGGGTGGGATTCGACTACCGACCTTCAAACTTGGGCATCATCCCAGACATTCTTAGTAGGAGATAATCTCAGTAAGTTATTTACACACACAAAGATATTGACAAGGAAATGGGACAATTTTTACTCTGATTTTACTTATTTTCCTGTACAGGAATTAAGAAATTGGTATCTTTATTATGTGCGCAGATTTTCAGTACGCACCAAGCCATGATGTGGTTGAAGTTTCAAAAGCAGACTATGATTCTTGCCAAGCAAGTAACTCAATTCAGTCTTACAGTGGTGGCAGCACTACCATTCCTCTGTCTTCTCCAGGCAAGAGGTACTTCATCTGTGGAACAAGTGGACATTGTAGCCAAGGAATGAAGCTAGAAGTGGACACTCTTGCAACTTCTGCTGCACCAACTGCTTCTCCTCTGAGCCCTCCTCCACAAGAATCTCCTTCAATCCCAGCCCCTTCTTCCTTGGACACTCCATTGGCTCCAGAAACTTCGACTGCCTCACCGGCACAATCACCACAATCTGCTCCCACTTTGTCCCCTGCTTTGCCATCTGAGTTGCCCATCAGTCCTGCATCAAACCCAATTGACATTCCTTCAACTGAAGCTCCTACTTCCATCTCTCGAACCGGATCTTCAGCACAACCATCTTCCTCATCACTTAACTGCAAATTAGGTAGCCTCCAGGCCAGTCTCACTGTGGGGTTCAGTGCTGTTGTGATCATGTTGTTTCTATCTCCCTAGGCTTTTAAACAAAGGAAGATTTAGATTGTTTGTGGAGAAGTTTATGTTCATTGGGTTTTCTGTGTGACAAAATTTCTTGTGCATTTTATTCCAGTTTTATGATTGCTTCCTTTTGCATTTGGAAAAGAAACTACTGTTGTGCAAAGTTTTTACTATTTACAAGAAATGAATGTTAGGGCTAGAACCAGCATGCTCAGCCGTTTTGGATCAGACTACTATAATACTCCAGAAACTATAACTAAGAAACCATTTTTACATGGAAATTATGACGTCTGATAAACTGTTTGATTCAAGAGATCATCAACATACATGAAGAGTGCTAAATAATATTTGTCATGGACTGATGATCGATTAACATTCGAGATAGCTGGAAAATATAAATACCCCATTAACTGTATGAACTTCACTGCAACGCCAAAAAGTGACAACAAACATCATAGTATGCTAGTAGCCAACTACAACACCATTGTTTGACTTGTAGCAGACCCAACTGCAGCACTGGTCAATACACTCTGTTTTGTTCTGTTTTCAAAATCTTTTAAGAAGCAAATACATAAAAAAACCCTCCCCCAACTGCCACCCCACCATTTTTCCTCACATGCTCATTTTACAAACCTGTTGAAGCCTTGATGGCACAAACCCATTCAAATACAAGCAGTCCTCTGAGAAAGCGCCGAAAATATTACGTTGCAATTATAGACATGTAAGATCAAATGCAGGAAAAGCCAATTGAATTCAATCAATGCAGAATCCTTCTGTATTGTGGCGTCCACAAAACCAATAGGTTGTATTTCCCTGCTAATCATTACTTGATCAATTTGCTGATGATGGAGATTTGGGCAAGTGCACTCTAACATGATTCTTGATCCACTTGCAGCACATGCTATAATTGACATCCATGATGGTGATTTAGAAATGTAAATTGCTTAAAGATGATGAACAAAACATCTGTTACAGATTTGTACATGCCTTTGTTCAACTACTGTAGTTGAAAACAATGATAGATATTTAGAACAAATGAACATTTTTGTTCAAGACGTGACAGTGAACAAATTATGGATGCCCTGCACTCTACTCTTACGCTGTAGGAGGGCGAAGGATATGATCCTGTGATATGTCATTTTGTGCACTCATGGCTATGACTTGCTGCTCCAACTTCTCTTTTTCTACCCTTAGCCTATGCTTCTCATCTCGAAGTTCACTCTTCTCAGCCTGTGTAGAGACACAGGAACTAAAAACCGTTATGCTACTCACCTGGTTCTAGTATTCAGGACATGGTGAGAAAGATGAGATGCATACAAAGAATTCAAGTAGTTCAGTTTCTGAAAACTAAGTAGGCATGAGGAAGTAAAGCTCACCTTCAATACTTTAATATTTGCTTGCGAAGACTCAATGGTCTCTTTCAGCTTCTTGGATTCACTTTGTAACTGGGTCAGCGCTCGAACGGCATCAGTCAATATAGCATTCTTGTCTGTTTTGGGAAGCCTTCCAGGATCCAGGACAGAAACTAATTCCAAGAACCTTCAAATTGCCAAATCATGTCTACTTTGATTAGAGAATGAGAAGACAGAATTCTAAATCAGATAAATAAAAACTACTTTTATGATAGCATACCTCTCATTGAGCCTATTCCTCCGCAATTTCTCCCGGCATGCTTTAGAGAAAGATGCACCATAGGATTCAGATCTTAACCTAAAAGGCATTTGCAATACATTAGGCCACAACATGTTCCTGCATTTTGAAAAATATCATCAATTGGGAAGAGATATTTACCGTTTTTGGGAGCCGACTTCCATAAGGTTATCCGAGTCTCCAGATGAGCAATCAGCTTCCACACCGGAAACAAACATAGTTTCAACAAAATGTTCAATAAAGAAAACAACATTTCAATTGCCAGACAAATGGGAAGCACATGTTACCAATGCACAACAGAAGCTACAGAGCCTAACCACATATTTTTAGATGTTCAATTCAAACTTGAGTCCACTTGTCATTGTTTTTTGCACTTAAGGAAACGGCTACAAAACGAACCAAAGCTAAAACATATACAAATACAAATCTAAGAAGAAATGAAGAAAAAAAGCGGTAAGAAAGAGACCCACCTTGACCGTGCATTAGGAGAAACGTTGATGCTTTGAAATGGCCAACCAAAATCAGTAACCAGTGCCGGAAATTCTCCAACGGAAAATGGGATGTCGTCAAGTAGGCCATAGTTAAAGAGCCAATTTGATGTCGCTGAGCAAGCCATGTCCATTTGTGTGTGCGTGTGTGTGTGTGTGACGATATATATGCACGTCAAAGGAAAAATATTATATTATAAATAACATATAAATAAATAGGAAAACTTTTAAGGTATAATGAAATTGAAGAAAACAAAATAATAGGTAAGTAAAAGGAAAATAAATAATAAGTAAGAAGGTGAGTTTGGTACGGTGAAGCACGTCAAAGACGCTGTCCTAAAGCCTTTGTAGCCTCCCTACGTGCAGGTACTGACGGTCTACAAGACTCCAAGATACGACCCCTTGTACACAAACTCAAGATCCGCTATGAGCACGTTCATAGACGGATATGGGTATCCAAGTCACAGAACCATTGCCAAAATAATAATATAAAGTAGAGAATATATATAAAAGTAGAAAAGGAGAGAATCAGTTTATGGTGGTGATTGTGGTATGTGATATTCTGATGGTGTAATGTGTGTGTTTCAAATGTGAAGGAGGAGTGGCCTTTTATAGGCATCCAAAAACATGTACCCTTCACCAACCATAAAAGTTCACCAACCAAAAAATTAAGGCATTCACCAACCAGAAATAAAACATGAATATTAAATATTTATAACCCCACAATAAATAAAATAAAATAGCCAAAATAAATAAATAAATAAAACGGTTAAATTTTTAAAACCTTTTAAAATTCCAACAATCCCCCACAAGGTTTTTAAAATTTTACCGTGACAAAAAAACAGTGAAAAATATATAATATATATGGCAATATAATACTATGTAATAGGTGTAGGTGCCTTCCGGGCTTGAACCTTCACTTAGTGATGATAGTCTCCATTTGAGGAACCTGAGTGTACACAGTATTGAACTCGGCACCTTTGACCAAACTTCAACATATCCCACACATAGTATTAGTTGAGACTTGGATGCGGGGTAGCGCTATTTATGGCCATGCGCTCATCTTGATTCTCATGAGAGTTACTAGAGAATAGCCCAATTCTCATAGTCGCGGCCTCACGACGTCTCTCACTTAGGTGAGTTCTCCAAGAGTACATGTGACCTGCACCCTGCGGGAGTTTGCCCGCCTCGAAACTCATTCAGGGATAAATCCCTTCCTGACGTCACATAAAATAGCACTTTTGCCTTAGGGATGAGCAGAAGAATATCTCAAGGATATCTCCATAATTTTATCAGTGCTATATGAGTCACGCA